AAAACTTCAAAAAGAACTGGCAAAGAATTTCCGTTCTCACGGCGCAATTTTTTTTTCTAAATTTTCATTAGTATACTTTTGATATGAAGAGGCTGCTAACTGCATCAGGGGCAAGAAGGAATGCAACAAAAAACAAAAGCTACCGATGCAATATTTTAATACAATTCTGAAAAAAAAAACTAATTTGTGTAACATACACAATGAGTTGAACTTGACGGGCTCAAAGAGGGCGATTCGTCACCGGGACATCGATCCGGAACAGTGGGCGAAAGCAGGAGAGTTCTGATGCCCGTGCATTCCGGGCGGCAAATATCAATCGGTTGTCTTCCATCACTGTCAGAGCGATTGCGATCGGCACCCGAATGAAGCAGCAGCCAAACCAGCTAAGCAATGAATTTTTCTTATTTTTTCCCAAACGCTTTGTAACATTCCAGTAATCAGTCACATGTTCATGAGATTTAAAATCGTATCGAACGGCGTCTCAAAGTGGCGCACCCAAAACGAGCGGAAGCGCGCCTCTCCAGCCGCATCGGCCTAGGAGCTGACTGGAGCGATGCAAAAAAGTATGTGGGGAGCCGAGGGGGGAGGGGGGAAGGGAAAAATTTCATAAAACAAGCTAAAAATGGGAAAATTATAGAAGCAAATAAATGGGACCAGAAATGCTGAAAAATGTAACATTTCTGGAGAAATGGAGCAAAAAAGTACAGAGAGGCGACTCCCCTCCCTCGCTCCAGTCTCACAAGCTACGTACGCCATAAATCATATAAAGTAAAGCTTCCAGTGCAACTTCTAACGAAAGCATGCCAACCTTTTCACTTGCACTTGCTACAGCATCATGCAGCGGCGTGTCATCGTCATACTCAGACACCGCATTTACATCCGCACCATTGCTAAATTTTGGGTACTATAAGTGACATAAAGGTACTTTGAAATAGGAAGAAGAACAGAAAAGAAAATAATATTAAGCAGTGAAAAATTAAGTAGTGAGAAATTAGTAAAAGTAGTAAAACTATTTTAATAAAATTATTATAATGGTAAGGAATGTTTCGGTTCATTTAAGTCGTATACATTTCTTACCATTACCACAATTGGAACTCGTCAGTACGACGACTGTAGTAACTGAGCCTTGTGCAAAACTTTTATCAAATAGGAAGTCTCGATGCATGTATTTCACAGGTCCTCATCTCTAATCCACAAAATTCCTAGTACCCTTTACTTTGGCAATCCCCAATGCTCCAGTGTTTTCAGAGCTCCCTGCAAGAATGTAGGTGTTTGAATGTGACATCCAGTCCCATTATATCGGGCATATTGTTTTCTCGACAAATAATGCGGCCAAGGAACAAACCTTATGAGAAGTCTGGCAACTTTGAAATGTCCGTGATAGCATGCTTCGTGCAGCGGCGTCAGTCCCGCATAATCACGTGCATCCACAAGCGCTCCGTCCTGGATCAATTTCTTGCATTGCCGATGCTCACCTTTTCGTGCTGCCACGTGTAGTGGTGTTTCGCCACGCTCGTTTTTCTTGTGCACCTATAAAAGGTGGGTGCAAAATTGTGGCATCACAAGGAAGAAGCACGGGCAATTAGCCGAGAACTATGCAGTACATCTAGCACTTCCCAATAAACACAAAAAGGGCAAAAAGCCGTCAAAGTCATCGATAGGACAGCGACTACGGAAACAGTCTAGCCGCATTTACCGCGCAAGAATACACTACAGTGAAACAACAGCTGCTTTAACTGCACAAGCAATAATACCTTTGGGATTCGCCTCTTAGGCACGCCTGGTGAAACACTGCTTGTCCGTGTAGACTGCGCTGAGGTCGACGAAGCGTCAGCGGTAGCCTGAGCCACTGGCTGCTCCATCTGAAAACCCACAAACTTCAGTTGCATTTTCACTGCCTTGAGCTGTTGGACACTTCGTAGAATGACCAGCGGTCATAAGATGCGGTGTGACGCGATGACATTAAGCAGTCGGCCAATAGGTAAGAATTTCATGCTCGATAACGCAGTGTCCAGAAAATAACAGACTCAATTCCACCCTTTATGACAGAGAAGCGAAAAACAAAGATATTATTCCTGTATGTATGCGTTCAAGTAATTTAAGTAGCAGTACTACTGGTTATAAAGTAGAATTCTGAGAGCCGCCGCCTTCGAATATAAAACACACGAAGTCAAAAAGCCTTCTTTTTGAAAGTTGCTTTAAAAACATATAAAGAAACAAAGGGAGGCTCATAAAATGCTGAAAACAGAGAGCTCAAGCTTAATTTTCGCACCCTGCCGAGTTTCGAGATAAAAAATGAGGCTGGCATTTTAACTCAGCAGCGTGTGTAACTATAAGCTCAAAATTTCCTGCTGTAACAAATCGTACCAGTAGCAGGTGAATCAAGCCATTTCCGAATCAAAGTGTACTTCCTCATGACGGATCCAACGTCGAGAAATCTGACGCTATAAATTTAACACCAATGTAAAAGTGTGCATCTGAGATTTCGCAGTCGCAATAAACGAGAGTAAATCCAGTGTGTCTAGGCCTCGATCTTAAGCTTAAATCAGCATTACCGTCCGGGTCAGGGCGCAATACGAATTTTTGCAGGAATTAAATAGAACAAAATCATTACGATGGCAGTAAAGGCGTCTTATACAAGCACCGGAAATGCCCTTTCACTTCGTGCTCTCAGCAGATGATAACAAAAAATACATGTTCTTCGCAGTGTCTCTTTTTCATGCGCTCCATTGTTTATTTAAGAAAGAAAAGCTTGGATGTTGTACATTCCTATTATTTGCACATAGTAAAAGCGACTGCTATGCATGCCGCTCAGTTTACATCCCTTCAACATTCTTCGTAATCAACTGTTTTCTTTTTCTGCACTTTTTTGCTAATACATTACACTTACACATAATACCAAATAGGCAGAGGAAGGCTATAGGATCCGCTTGTACGACTATATGGAATTACGTGGATAAGAGAAGCTCTAAGTATAAGAAGGATGACGCTACCAGCTACACCAATGGTGAGAAGAAACAAAAGGGCTGAAAAAACAGCTATTAAAAGTAAATACTTAAGCACAGCTAATTATCACTTCTAAAACGCTACGTAACGAAATCCGCAGACTAAACGATTGATCGTGTACTCAGGCGTACAAGTGCTTTTCGCTACTCAAAATGTAAGCTTTCGAAGGCTGTAATTGCCAAGTTAAACAGTTACGATACCCAGTGCTCCATAAAAATTAACGTTTCTGTGCTTGTTAGAAGCCCAACAAATGAATGCACTTTTGGCAAAGAAGTCAAAGTATGAGAGAAAGTTAAATGTTTTAAAAATTCGGGAAAAAAAGCACTGAAGTTAAGCCTGAATGATGAAGCGCGAAGAGTCTTTTATGCATTTTTTACATCCATGCAATGAAAAAACGTATACTGTCGAGGGGTTGTCAGTGTGTGTGTGTGTGCGTCTGTACCGAGTTTTCATGTTGAGACCTACAAAAGCTACACGCTGAAGTTTTGGCAACTAAATCTACACGCATGTATGGGTCCCTATCCCCAAAATGGACGCTAATGCCCACGTGGTTCCCACGCACGAGCCCGTGAAAATTTTTGGCGGGTAATCCATAAAAAATCTAAAGATTTCAAATCCATCTTCCAGGTGTGCGTGGTCCTCACGTGCGCGATCGTGAAATTTCTGGCGGGCAAGTTGCGAACTCGGAAACCAGGGAAAACAGAAAGTTTAAATTTTATGCGGATGTTCTCCGTCCACATATAATCTAATAATGATTTCAATCCAATGATTTAAAATTACAATCTGATTACAATCCAGTGATTTCACATTCAGCACCCAGTCGTGAATGATCCCCTGAAAATTTCCGGCAAGTTGCTAACTCACAAACCAGAAAAGCTAGGTGACTGAAATTTTAAGGGGGGTTTTTTTTCTGACAATTTTAAGGGGATGATTTTTCTTTTCTGACATATTTTCTGACAACTGAGACTGGCGAATCTCAATTCTTTTAGCTAGAAACATTTGCCGGAAAAAACAGTGCCGTTAGCGACAAAAGCCTGCAGAGAACTACGCAAAAAACGCATCTGCGCACCGGCAGTGACTGTGTTGACCAATTATTTTTCAAGGAAGAAGTAATGAAAGTAGCAGAGTAAGAACTGTATTTCATTATCATCTAATTACATTTCTTACTTTTTAAATCCGACGATCATATTTTCCCCTATCCTCACTTGCCTTCAACTAAAAAGTCTAACTTTTATAAATAATATTTATTTTTCATCTTAACAAGTTTGTATGCTGCCATAACGTAATGACGAGTACTGGCAAGAAATGTGTACAATTTCATGCATATTTCTTTCCAGTTTTAAAAAAACTTTACTCATTTCACAATTCTTCAAACCTTTCCTCTAGTCCCATAACAATTCCTTTTCATTCTTTCAAACTCAAACTCAATTCAAAATTTGGTCTGTCCGTAATGATAATATTTATGGCATTAATTAGAACAATTCGTGTCGCCGTACATTTGTTAGTACTTTCAGTCTGATAAACTGTTTATATTATTTAGAAATGACCTG